GAAAAAAAAAAAAAAAAAAAACAAAAAAAAAACAAAAAAAAACAACAACTTACTTCTTCAAAGAAATCAACTTCAGGCGCTCCTCTGGTAAATAAGAGCAATGTGTTATACACAAGGAATACTGAATAGCAGCTTAACATCTTCCTTTGGATTTATAATATTCTCTAACTGAAAGAAACATAAAGACAGAGACTGAATATGCATAGTATTTTCGACATTAAAACAATTAAGTAGGACTATTTCCTAGACGCAGCGTTTGCATTTTAAACAACAAAAAATACCGGTATGGATTGCTTGATTAAGAATTTACTCTATTTGTTCGTTCGTTCATTCGTTCGTTCATTCGTTCGTTCTTTAATTTATCATTCATTCGTTCATTAATTCATTCGTTCGTTCGTTCGTTCATTAAATGTTGTTTTAATTTTCATGTAATGTCGATCAACTCTCTCAGCTGTGACCGGAGGTAGATTTCAAATAATCAAAATATTCATTTCTACTTTAAAGGATCAATTTTGTTATCAACTTTCAATGAAAAACATAACAAAATATTCAGTATGCATAATTACGTTTTACTACAAAAAGTCGATTTCCAGCTACTGTACTTGAAAGTCATGCACATAGCTGTCTATTGGCAATGATAATAATACAGTATACAACAAATATACAATGTTATAATTGCATACACATGCGTTAAGTTTATATGATGATGATAAACCACATAAACGCAGTAAAGTTGTACTATGTGAAAGGATAACGAAGAAGAATTGAAAAAATAAAAGTGAGTTTAACCCCTACTAAAGAGAAAAAATTTAATATGCAATTAAAATATCGAATTTATTTTTTAATTATATATCAGACTAGCACAAAATGCTAATTTGTTAGGTGAGTTTGTAGTAAGCAGTTTATGACGTCATTATTTAACAATCATTTATTGTTTTTATTACCTGACGGTTCTTGACAGATTACGCACAATACAAATTTCAATTAAGATAAATAGAATTAAAGCCCTAGCTGTCAATGCAAATTGAGTTAGAATTTGCTGGATTGTAAAAGAAATCCCTATAATTAGCCACAAATAAAAGCAGCCTGTTTCATCTTATTATTTCCAAATTCTGCTCCCATGAGCAATACGTCAAGAAAGTGTTTGTCTGATGACGCGTTAAAATCAGTTGAACTTTTTGTTTATCAATGAAAAGTCTGAAGCGACAACTCAACTGACCAGAAAAGTACCAGTAGTTCACCCGGACCAGAATTTTAATTAGGCCTAAGTTAAAATCATTCGGATAGAGAGAATATCAACTCTGTATGTAATCTCTTTCAGATGAGTGTGTACTTTTTTATGATATCATGGCACAACAAGATGAGTATGCTTGATTTTGATAGTCACAAAACAGTCTTACAACTAGTAATAAAATATGCACTAATAATAATTAAGATAATAGTCGAATAGTTTATTGCGCTGATTGCAAGGTCAGTGACTCTTTAACTATCATCACAAATCGACCTTTATCGGGATTAAACTAAACTAAATCATACAATTCCACATTTCAGTGTCTAGAGAGAAAGCGATTGAGGCGTGGTCCTATGAAACAAGATCACACACTTTAAACTTCAAGTACGGTGAGAAATTGTGCCAAACTAAACAAGTGTGTATCATCCTGTGGTTGTTATTTCTCTGGTGGCCTAAGAAGGATGAATTGAGAAGAAAAAACTAGACCTCATTGAAACTTTATAGCCGCAAATTTCCTTTTTAACAGTTATAGGCCAATGGATAGTGGAAGTGTAACAGGAAGCTCTCAATTATCAACAGTGCACAAGAGTGTATAAGAAACAATTTAAAAATAATTTTTCTGTCTATATTTTCCCTTTTTAGATTTTTTAATTCTGATTCATACATACATAATATTATTAGTATATATAATCTATACACAATTATTTCTTTTATAAAGATATGCGTTTCTGCCTAACACCCATGTGATATTAATACAAACTTCGAGGTTGGTGCATAGAATTACTGTATTATCTTATACAGTGGCGTATTTAAGAATTTTGAAATGGGGGGACTAATAAAGGGAGGCGAATAGAAAAGGGGCAGAGTAACATACTATTGTCACTTGCATAAAAATATACGGAAGTAGAAGAACAGAATATTTAAAAAAAATAAAATAGAATTTCTAAATCTAATACACGATCGAAGCTTTCATTTGTATGTGGTAACATTTTTAAACTTCATAAAATTAACACATTCAAAAACTCCGATAGACTGTTAAAGTCTTTGATAAATAATCAATTACTTTTTTTGTATGTGACAGGCCTATCGAAGCAAATGCATGTTCTCTGATTTATGGAACCTTTAACTACAATGATCTTTAAAACTATCTGTTATTTGGCATTAAGAGTTTTCTTTTCAATTTAAAACTGAAAGTTAACAAGTGTATTGCCTGTAAGCCTATATATTTATAATAAACTTAAACTTACCTTAGATTGTAAGAACTTCCTAACAATATCAACTAATTTTGACAGAAAGAACAAGAATTTAAAGAGGAAACAATCCGGGACGCTGTTGTTCCTCCGATTCAGCTAAGCCAAATGATTGGGACGAATTAAAGGTGCTCGGTCACAGCTAAACATGATACTGAGTCATAGAACTATGCAGAGAGGCTGACTGATCGTCGCTCTGAATTCATGCAAATAATGTTCTCAATTCTATAGTATTGCTATCTATTCCAATTTTAAGGCCGTGTGTGCAAGTGAAGATAATGCTAGACGTGAATCAGGAAATAGGAATAGTGTGGGCTTCCTTTGAATTAACAAACGATAGCATGATCGGAAGTTTTTTAGGGTATTCGGCAGAGAGCTAATTGAGCCGAAGACATGCACTGGCAACGGAATATATACAATGTAGACTGACGCAATTGAATTATTGATATGCATACGTAACACGGGACAGCAGTGCCTTGGCCTAACGTCTTAAGAGTCCGCGTCAATACGTAAGCTACGCGATGCGAAAGCCAATCATAAACGGAAAATAAATAGAACCATAAGCCTATATAACACCAATTACAGTTCGCCCTCCAATTCAAGATCAGTTTGGGACCTCAAAATTTGGGGTGGTCTGGGGGCTCGATCTTGACCATGATTGACGATTGTTATTGGTTCTATGGGTCTCGGGGAATTAGAGGGATCTCTAATGGCAGGATGCACTATATACAGTTTAACTCAAGATACTGCCACTTTAAGCTTGAAAGTGTATACAGTATTATTTTACTGGCTCTAACTCGAGTTTTTACTACCCTTGTGTTAGAGCTAGAGCGCGTCATCAATAATCAATGCGAAAAAGCTGCGTGAACGAATGGGCGTAATAATACACTGCCTCTGCATGATGGAAATAATATGTGAAGTAGTCCGCCCACTGGCGGACACTTGAGGTATAAATAACATATGACAAGGTAAACTGGTAGGGTTTAAAACGGAAATTTAGGACAAAATATATAATAAAACTACAAAATATAAAAAAATAAGCCTACAGTTATATCGTCGTCGTACATAAAAAAAAATTAATAAATAAAAATCTATCTATAAGCAATATCTATTTAATTCAAGTCTAATATGAGCTGAATCCTTTCTGAATCTATGCTTGTGCGGCATGTACGGGATCGCGTTGTGCTCAACGTGTATTTTAGCATCCTTATGGGCTGTGTAGGCTTTAATAAATACTATATAAATCTTAATATACGTCGTGAATTACTTTGTTGGTTGTTGGTACCCTTTCTTTGGCACTGACCTATCTTTTTCTTTTCGTTTTGTTTAATAGGAAATCTAGGTCTGCTTATAATCGTGGTTGTCTATGTGCATTTAAATACATTTTGATTGGATATTATTTCTACTTTCCTTTATATTGTTATTGTTAACTTTATACACTACAAAAACGCAGCCTATAAATAAGCTTAAATAATTAGCCTATATATTACGTTTAAAGTTACACTCATTTGAATGAGTCTCATTAACTTATAAGCAAAATTAGATAAAATAAACAAATATTTACACACACACATATATATCATATATATATGTATGTATATATATGTATATATATATATATATATATATATATATATATATATATATATACACTGAAAGATTACAAAAATCTGCCAGATTAGTGTATATTTGTATATTAAATACTGTAGGTAAAAGTTGTATGCTACCGTACGCTAGAAGACTCATAAAGGAACTATTCTCGACAGTTGTATTCGCATAACGTACAGTAGACATATCGTACACTTTACTTGGCAGTGAACCGAGTCAACGATTCCCGATACGTCTCAATAAGACGTATACAATTTCTGTGATTATTAAGAAGAGGAAAACCTCTTCACCACGCATAATTATCCTGAAGAACGATCAACAGGAGCAGTTGTTCAGGAACGTGGGCTTCGTGCGAGTGATAACACATGACGTCATAAGCTCGTGGATTTTCTAATAGTGCTGATTATTGTATTGTTAGTGATTGACATGCCATTAGAAAGCACAGATGAAGAACACAGTCTATTGATTCGGGCATGATCACAGCTTGTCGTCGGTACTATTATTATTATTATTATTATTATTATTATTATTATTATTATTATTATTACGAGTATTACTATATTATATTAATTTTATGGTTATTAGAATTATAATTATTATTAATTATTATTGATATTATTATAATTACTAGTATTATAATTGATTTTGTACCATTACACCATTATTATACCATTACAATCTTATCATTATTTAATATTATTATTAATACTACTATTATGGAGGTTGAGATGTAAATGAATCGTTCGTCTATCTATACTGGTAATTAATAAATTGAGCTTGTTACCAATATTCACGTTTATAAACAAAAAAATATTATAAGTTATTAAATATTCCACGGCCATCTGTTCATCCGAACTATTTAGTGTTACAATGACTTCTCTTACTAATAATGTCTGGCAACGCATTTACTAATGTCTTTCCAACTAACAAACGGAAGTGTTTAATGCAGCATATGCACTGGAACCTGTTGGCCGCTGACAGTTTCTTTACACGCTATGAGTTTTTTAGCTTTACTTCCTGTCGTTTCCGGACT